GTTTCACAATTCTTACAGAATCATTGACAGTATATTGTTACTGAATTAATCAAATTAGTGATTTTGATTAAACCAAATGTTTTTGGAAATAATATTCTTTGTAACAATGATTCTGACCTCAGAGGTCAGGTATTTCAGCACCTTTATTTCTGAAGATATCTGTTGTCTTTTCTTGTGCTGCTTCTTTGTCATTTTACTGTGTTGCACAACTGGCAGACTAGTAAGTATGTGGCTAAATTTACGGTCATGCATTTTTAGAGCCTATAGCTGCAGTTGGTTGGAAAAACGATTCCGTATTTATGTGAGATCAGCCAAGGAATTCTTAGCCAACATAATTTCGGTCTAACATGATAACACTGTAATAGCCTACTGATTAATACAAATTAATCCATTATTGTCAGACTTAATCATTTCAGCAAAAGGGAAGGTATAATATTTCTTGTAATATTCAGGGATGCAAACTTGTCAGCGAAATTCACCGTTCTGAATAAAAAATTGGTAATTTGTGTGATTTGTGTAGATCCAGTGAGTTTTTAAATTATTTGTTTGAAATCATGTGATTCGGATAGAGGGCAGGAAGTGAAAAGCTGAATGGACGAGATGGAGGAAAGTCCATATACTGTACTGGGTTAGACACTATTACAAGAGAAAGGTATAGACCCTTTTTCAGTTAGTAAAAATTGTGAAATTTTTTATAGGTGGAGGCAGAAAGATTACACTAGCTAGCAAGTTTTGTTGCTAGCAAACTACAGATGTAGTTCACGTGGTTTCCTTGTGCTGTAAACAAAACTTGGTTCTCGCAAGACTACACTCTTCTACCCGGAGCTTACTCTCACGAGACTACACTAATCTCCCCGCAGCTTACATTGCGCCTTCTGCTACGCCTACGTCATATGCTCAAACACCTTCTCATGAACGTGCCTGCTTGAGCGACCGGAAGCTGGAGATTAGAGTTTATACATTTTAAAAAATCTATATTTGTCTTCACTAATGCATCATTTAGCTTTAGAAGGCCTTTATTAACACCCCAGAGCCGTGTGGAGTAGTTTTATGATGGATGGATGGAGGATGCAGGATGGATGCTTCAAAAACAGGGGCACCATTCACTGCCATAATACAGCTTGGAAGAGCCAGGGCTGGGGCAGCACGATTAATCGAAATTAAATTGCAAAGGCGATAAATTGCGATTAGGCAAAAGCTGCGATTGTCATGCGTATCTTTCAGTGAAACACGGTTCTGTGGTCAGTAGTAAATCTCCATAAGAAGGTCAGAGGGCGCTCTCGCACTGAAACTCGAAATACACCCCGCAGAAGAAATCAGGAAATTCCTATAGCGGTTGCTGAATAAACAGACGATTTAACTGCTGTCATTGATTCAACGTGACTAATAAACACACGACTATGACAATATATGGTTTATCTAAGTTCGTCTTATTAAAATGTTTATTATACTAAATTATATAATACTGCAATGCTAATCGACATAGCCTATATCACTGCTTAGTATACTATGAAATATGTTGTGTGCCTTATTCTGTGTAAGAAGCCAAATCATCTCACAGAAGAATTTACTTCAAACACTTGACTTACGTTATGAAGTGAGTTTGGAGTAAAAACATGTTATTAAATGTGGTATTTTCACGTGCTTTCAGATGGAACAGCATTTACTACACAGAGCCGTAGTTCACTGACAAGCTACGCAAACAGCTTTCATAATCGCAGAATGATATCTTCGATTTCATAATCGTGCGATTAACTCATCTGCGATTATGAGCGTGATTTTGCGTAGCTTGTCAGTGAACTACGTCTCTGTGTAATAAATGCTGCTCCATCTGAAAGCACGTGCTGGAGATATACTACTGATTACAGAACCGGATTTACTGACAAGATGTGCATGACAATCGCATTTGATTAATCGTGCAGAATTGGAAAAGTAGAAAGTAAGCGAGACGACACAAGCGACTTCCTTTATGTTTAGCCACTGGTCGTTAGTTAACTTATTCCCCAATTTCTGATTAGGTGGGCATGCATGAGAAATCTTTAGACTCATAACCAAACCATAATCCATAAAAGACAACAGTTTAATTAACCTTAACTGATATTAAGTGTGCGCTGCAAAAGCATTTTTGATGATCGTTTCTGTCCAGTCCCCTCATTTTATTACAGCTGTCATCGTTTTCTTTTGTCTGGCAATGGCAGCAGGTATGTGATACAATTTCTAATTGGAGCCTCTACTCCATCGATTCTGACACTCAAAGATAACATTTTAAGCTCCTAATGTATAGCCGACTCTATGCTGGTTTGTATTGGCCACCTCCAGGTATTCCTTTGTTTTTTGCCTCCAGCTAATGCTGTGACGTAATTGTGGCATCGGCACGAAAAGGGTCTATTAACAGAAAATCACAACATATGTTAGACATGATCCTTATGTTATGAAGAGGAGCGATTTTTCAACTAAACTGAAATACTTGCCTGCCAACGAGGCAGTTGATATAGGCTAAGCAACTAACCCTGATTGCAAACAAGCTAAATTAATCCTGCATTTATATGGGATGCGGGATATATCATTCCTGAAACTTTGCTGCATGTACAGGGTGTGTGGCCACTGGTCCTGTTAGCAGCACGTAAAACAAAACTTTTATTCAAATTCTGTATTGATTATAGCTTAGAAAGCAAGTAGCGCTTCCATATAATCACTAAAAAGCTGTCACTCACTTCAGTTTATCTCACAATGTTCGTTATAATCAATGAAGCTCTCTAAACTGCACATGTAATATCTTGTATCCATTGTGTCTACGACACAATAGATATGTGCCATATCTATTTATATATTTTGTATATCTTAATTTATTATTATATCCTAGATCATTTGCACACACAAGCACTATCCCCATTATTTCTCCCCTTATGAACAACACATTTTCGTAAACTATAAAAGTTCATTTTGGTTTCTCGGTTTGACCGATTTGAGCATCCATAAACAACACAAAACATAGGCATTTTGAGTTTCTACTCTCACTTCCTTCCCTTCAGCTGCGTTTCGCGCCAAAGCAATGACGTCATGTGCAAACAACCTATTCTGTACCCGCTCGAAATCAATGGCTTTCAAACTCTCTTGTGTGGTTTTGTGTGCACGCTCTAGTTTCAAATTATAAAACCGAAAGTTTTTATTTACAATGTGTTTTTGCAGCGTTGAGTATTGTAGCCAATCACAGGCATCTCTGTTGAAAGCACTGGCCAATTCATTTTTGTTTTCGCAAGTTTACGGAGTTCTACAAGCTCACAGATCTTCCTATTATAACAAGACAAAAAGAAAGTGTTTAAATAAGATATTCATTGTGTAGTTATCGATTATATCAGGAGTTTTCGCACGAGTGAGCTCGGACATTTGCGCTATAAGGGAAGCGCCCACTCGGTTTCTCTACATACTTAATTCACAGTTTGAAGAAAAGTTTTGTTAGTCTAGGGGCCAAACGTCCACGTATACTGTTTCAGGAATGACAAATGCGAGTGTAAAAAATGTTACGAGTGAATCTGCTAAATTGTGCCGCGAATCATTGTTATGAGTGACAGTGATACCTGTAGCAATGGACGGAATGAAACATCTGACAAGCCGATATCAAAAATAGAGCTGTGCATTAAGGGATGTCACCTTTTTCACCCATGATGAGTTTGCATCCATGGATGTTTCTAATCCATTCATTCATAACCTATAATAATTACAGATAGAGACATGGTGCGTTTATGCCATTGTAAAGTGTTTAAGGTGGGCCTCACCCTCTGTATGTATGAAGCTATATGATACAACAAGTCCACATCCAAAGACCTAGCAAAACACACACCAAAACAACACGTAATTTAAAGTAGGTTTGCACGGAAAACATCTGCCAGTCAAATCACTTTACAGCAGATAATGCATACTATGAAGTATTTTTGTGATTGAAAGCAGAAAATATATTGATTGAAAACAATAAAGAAAAAGTTTTTTTAAGTTTAATTAATCTACCACACAGCCATTAATGTTCTTCAACTTTTGTCCCACAGGTGTTCTGCTGTATGATGCTTTGGGATGGGAAGTGAGAGTGCCAAAGGAAATTCACGGCCTCAAAGGTTCTTGTCTGGTTATACCATGTTCTTTCAGCTACACATCATACCCACCCAAAAACCCACTTAGTGTTGTGTGGTATCAGTGGGTCTCTAAAGGTTATCCTTTAGTTTACGATCCTTTGCATCCAAGCGATGTCATTGAGAAATTCAAAGGCAAAACTAATTTATATAGAAAATCAGGGGATTGCAGTCTGCTGATTACCGGACTGGAACTGTCCCACCATGGAGAGAAAATATATGCATGGATTGACCCTGAAAATGTTGGATGGCGCACCTACAAATTTTATGATGTCACCTCTACAGTCCTTGTTGATGGTATGTAAATATTCTTGGAATACTTACACTGTAATATCTGTGACTGTAGTGAAATATTGTGTGGTCAGTAACAATGGACATAAGAAAATGCTTCTTCCAAGTTTACATTTTTCAAAACATCAAACATCAAAACATTTTATGAAATTAATTTACAATGTAAAGTAAAATATTGCTAAAAATGCAGACAAAGAGGCTTGGATACTTTCTGGCTGTACAGCGTTGTAAAATGTGTTCATAGAGGAACTAATTTCACACATCACAAAAAATGACCTCAAGACTAGTTAGTAAAAAAAAAAATGAAAACGTTTCTAAGAAAAGGGAAGTTAGTTCTGAGAAAACCTCTTGCCTATTTTTTTCTTTTTTTTTCCCACTCAGTCTTGTATCTAATGCAGTGAAATTCAGATATTTGTGAGTGTCCAATTACTTGTTAGGGGTCACTTTTATAAAATGATATAATGTACTAATGTTTCTGTAAATTATAGCAAGTCCACAGCAGCCCAGCATCAGTATTTATGGAGGTGAGAAAATGGGTGACACCATCACAGTAGAATGTTCAACTTTCCACACGTGTCCATACAGCAAACCAACCATCACTCTGAACGGTATAGAAGGAAATGACCAAATCAGGGATGAGTCTATTAAAGATGGCCTGTTGAAAATCACTCTGACACGCACAGGTGTTATAAAGGCAGAAAGCACGACTATTAAGTGTTCAGTAACACATCATGGTGGCATAAAAGCGACAGCTACAGAGGTCAAAAGGTCAAAATGTGAGTAAACACAAATATGAACTGCTTTGTGTTATGTAAGTTATAAGTTCACTTTAAATGCAACTGGTGGACCTAGTACAAGATTTCAGTTCAATTTCAGGTGTTCATCATAAAATAACGATTGAGCCTGAACTGGCAGATGCCACTGAGGGCGTCGCAAAGAACTTCATTTGTAGCGTCTACCATTCCTGCCAGAAAGAGCATCCAACCATCACATGGAACTATGAGAACATGCAGGTCACAGAGAGGAGAAAAATACTTTCAGGTTTAAATCAGATCAGCTATTCCAGCATAACCTTTCTGGGTGCGAAAGAAGATCATGGGAAGAAATTGATTTGCACGGCAAAATTTTCTGGAGGAGACATTTCAGCTTCTGTTGTTTTACATGTACAGCGTGAGTAATTTGTTAGCATCACTTATTATGAGTGTGATCTCTTTGTGTCTTCTAATTATATTGGTTTCTATTTAAATTTTTATATAGATATAAATAACTAAATGTCACAGTCTTCAGCTGGTGTGCCCTAGATGGCCACCAGAGGACACTGTCTTTTGTGTGAGCACATGGCTTATTGTGTGTTTGTTGGTGCAATGTGCTCTCCTGTCTATTGTCTGACCCGCCCATCTTGTTACCCCATTATTGTTTCAGTGGTTCCACCTGTGTCTCCCTCATTACCCTCCTCGTTTGTCTCCCTATTTATTCTTCTTGTGTTTGCAGGCCTCTGCTGGTTTGTTAATTGTCGTTTGATGTATGAGTTGTTTGTACCCATGTTGCTACCGGTTTGGTGCTGCTCTGCCTGATCCTGCCTTGCTGTGTTGTGCCTTGTTCCTGGCCTACCTGCCTGTTTTTCCCCCTAGGGGTAGTTATTGTTGATTTTTGTTTTGTTTTTATTATAAAAAAAGGCCCATTCTTCTTGCATTTGAGTCCTCGCTTCATCTCTTCATCCAACCCGTGACACTAAAGACATTTGAAAATCTGTCATTGCCTTATGTTCATAGTATTTTATGTTATTTTAGTTCATTCAGTATTTTAATATCTGCATACTAAATTCTGCTTGATCTTCCTTGTATTTATTTGTATTCTGAATTGTGAGTTGAATTGGTCCAGAAAATTGTGAAAAGAGCAAGATTTTGTAGTCCATTAGCTTGACTGAAGTGAAGTATGGTTTTTGACGTTTCAGAGTTGGTCCTGCTTGCCAAAAAAAGCTGCCCGGAGGCATTACAAATATGGCCACTGTGTGAGCAAAGGGACTTTTAAGTCAGTATGTTTGTAGCAGCTTACCTGAACAATAACACATCTGGTTTAATGGCACATACATTTGAAGGAAACTCTTTTGCCCCCTTGAGTATTGATGCTTGTTACTGTGTTCACATACTTGTGTAAAGTATGTTTCCTAAGGCTCAAATATGACTATTTTTAGGAAGCACGGTCTTCCTAAAACATTTTAGGAAGCATGGTTTGTCGTTCCATTGTTTTGCAGATGACACTCAAATCTATCTGCCCTTAAAACAGAGGTCTAATGCAATGGAAGCACTTATGACTTGCTTGTCTGATGTGAAAGCCTGGCTGTCTTTACATTTTCATTTTGTTTGGTTCGTTGTATTCTCTTAGTTCACCAATATTAAATATTAGTACAAAAAAATGGGGCCACATTACACCAGGTTTACTGGTTGCCTGTATAGAGTCCATTTTAAAATTCTTCTTTTAGTATTTAAATCTTTAAATGGTTTGGCCCCTCCTTATCTTTCAGATTTATTGACTGAGCATTGTCCAGTCTTGCCTCTCCGGTCATCCACCCAGAGATTGTTATGCATCCCAAAGTCAAAGCTAAGGTTCAGGGGTAACTGCGCTTTCTCAGTAGCTGTCCCCAGACTGTGGAAAGCTCTACCCTTCAGTATTAGATCTGCATCATCGCTATCTGTTTTTAAATCCAAGTTGAAAACCTATTTCTTTGATTTGGCATATTATTAATGAGGACGTTTTTAATTGCACTGTTTTTAGTTATTTTCTATCGTCTTATGTCTTTTTCTCTCTTTTCTTTCTTTTTTTTCCATTGTGCAGCACATTGATCAACCTACGTTGTGCTTAATAGTGCTATATAAATACAATTGGCATTGACATGACACTTCATTTGCGCCAAAACCATAAATACAACAGGCTCAGAAAGCTTATTGTTACTTATTGTTTTCTACTGATTTTCTCACAGAGTACCAGAAACCAGTCCAGATCCTGAATGAAAGTATGTGGGTTACTTTCACATACTCCCCCCCCCCCGACAGCATACTCTCATATTTATATTACTGTCCTCCACTCATAGGCCTTTTGATAATAAGCAACAATACCTTCAGTTCTGTGATAATATTGATTAATCCATTATATGATATATCATTTTAGCTCATTTCCAATACATGGCAGACGTGATACCCAAGATCACCGCGTTGCCTCGTTCGTGTGTGGTAATACCGTGCAGTTTCAAGATGGAAGAGGAATATGTCACTCGACTTCGGGTTCTTTGGGTCACTGAAGGAGGTGGCTACATGTCCCACACTGACCCAGACAATGTCTTGGACAACTTCAAAGGCCGCACAAGACTCCTCGGAAACCCGGATGAGCAGAACTGTACTGTGGAGATGGATAATGTGCAAGCTCATGACAACGGGCCGTTCTGCTTCCGAGCAGAAAAAGGAAATGAGAAATACAGCTTCAAAAACAGCTGTGTGTTCATTATAATGCGGGGTGAGGAAATATAACCAATCACTTGGGTTTGCAAACTTCTGAAAACTTCACAACAACATTTACAACAACTGTATTTCATGCATCACATTCCAAATCTGATTGAATGTCTTTCTGTTAAAAAGCACCCGTCAAACCTGTGATGTCATCCCTCCCTGAAGACATCGAGCCCGGGACACGAGTCGCTGTCAAATGCTCAGTCAACCACACATGCTCCTCTCACCCTCCCCAAATCACCTGGAGCATCCCAACAGCCCGAGAAACTATCAGCCACAGTCACATGGGTGGAGGCGTCTGGGAAACAGTGTCCGCTGTGACCTTTATTCCTACTGGATATGAAGAGAAAGATGAAATTGTCTGCACTGCCAAATTTTGGGGTGGTAAAACACTGGAAAACACTGCCTTCCTGAGTATTAGCAGTAAGTACAGACTGATGTTAATGGGATTGGCTTGTGCATGTTAGACTCTTTGGTCCATTTTTTCAAATGATTGGTCAAATAGAAACTGTATTTAATGATGTGACTGTTAATCCTTTTAACAATAATTTTATTATAGGAGTTCAGGGGCTTAGATTGGAGACTCTTGGGTCTAATATCATTGCTCCCTCACTTGTGTTCATTCTCATTTGTGTACTTGCTGGAGTCTTCATTTATAAAATGCGACACAGGTATGTTTTTTTTATTTTTTGGGGGGGGCTTATACTTCAGAATGTCTGTATTTAAATTGTAGGTCTCTACAGCCCTGTCCGAATGGGATTAGTTTTACATGGAGAGGTGGGGTTGAACAATTATTACTAGAGCTTCTCAGTGATTTTAGTTCCATCCGAATGTGCCATCTCAGTGGACCTAACTGATATAATAAGAAACATATTATAAACATATTATAAGCAACGTAGTACGCACAGGAAGCAATGTGGAATGCACATGATGACAGGGAGGTGACGGCGATGCATAAATCAAGTTACCCCTCCCACTTTTGGTAGTAAGAGATTTCTTATCCTGTGTGAATTGGCCATTAATATTACAGATGTCCTGTGGTAAAATTACTGCATCTACCCTTGTAAAACTAATCTCGTCCAAATGGTGCTTATGTCAAACCATCTAGAGCCACCAGGAGGTCAAAGTTGCACTGATTTCTGCTTGTAACTTACATTTTGTCAAAGACATACTTTTTTAACTCATCCTAGATACTTTATCAGATCATCTCCAACTTTGGGTCAAAGAATGTTGAGACAGTGCCGTTCTCACTGTTCTCAACCATTCTAATGTAACAGCAAACTGTATCTCACTTTTACATTGTCATTTCTGATTGTAGACAGCTTCATCCAGATATGCAAGGGTCACAATCGCAATCTGAACAGAGGTATGTGAGGAATGACATTAATTTATCAATTTTCACTTATGAATCAATGTTAAAACCTTTGGATTTATAATATACTAGGAATTTTAACCCTGATCTCTAATGTAGGAGGCCAGTTTGGAACAGATTATCAAGGTGGGGTTTTCTTTTTATCTTTGTATCTTTGTATTTGTTCCTGAGATTAAATTTAACATTTTTCTCCCAGCCGTTTAAGTATGTCTGACAGAAGAGCAGCTTGGACTAATAGAGGAAACAGGAGTGATAGAAGGCAAGTACAACATAGAAAGGTCAAAAAAAGTTAGTGTTGGTATTTATTTCTAATGAACTAACTAGTGCCATCTACAGGGACACTGGAGATGATACTCAAAGACAAATGAGGCGTGAACAAAGGTAGGCTGAAAATATAATTATAATTATAATTTGTATTACATTTGTAGTCAAACTATTTAAACGTCACATCTCTCAACAGACGGAGCATTTGGAGCCGATTTTCTAGGTAATGAATATTCACATTTTTGTATTAATTTCATGTGTTTCATTATTAAAATCTTCAATTGTATTTATTTATTTATTTGTAGACACCAATCACCCAGCACCAATGCAAATCTGAGAACAGATTACAGGTATTAAAAAATAATAATAATAATAATAAATAACAAAACAGATTTTCCTAAGAAAGTAGTTTCTATTAATGTCACTAGTTAAAACACACATATGACTGATAATTAACATTAATAAAATGTGCAGGTGAATATTAATTCAGTTATTGATTGTGCGGTACATTTAATTAACTACGAAAACTATTTCTCCAATTACCTTTCGACATTACACTTCAGCCACTCAGGCCGTCATTTTGATAGCACCACAATATTGACACTGAGAGGAAATCATTTGACAAATGTTCTACAGTTGTGTGTGCACACTGAACAGAGAAAGTATTTAAACATGTTAAAAACAATTCCTCACAGCATCACACATTTGTGCTTCTACCCCCACTCACTAATGAAACACTCTTCACAGAACAAACAACATTTGTACGGTGTCAGGAAACAAGCCTTTCTCCAAACCTCATATGCCGTCACCAAAGAGGTCAGTGCATTGAACCACATATGTTTCTTAAAGGGGTCATGAACTACATTTTTTCTTCTACGTTTTATAATGTTCTCTGAGGGCCGCTTACAATGTTAGCAAGATTTTTACATCACTTAGAAATAAACTTAGAAGTAATAGGCTATTTTCTGTCCTGTTTTTGAACCTGGATGCGAGCAGTGCAATTCAACACAACTAGAGACAGAACCAATTGCAATCATTGATATATTCTTCACTGGATGCGGCGCTGCAAATCTCCAACAGTAAATTGATGCTCTGTTCTACTTCTGATGCTCGTGCTACTGTACTTATAACACGAAGAAATGGATTCTGCACTAATGAGGAACTTTTGAGTTCTGAAACTTACAGGATGTTTTTATATCACAATGACCTCTGATGTGAATTGATTTCTCAATTCATGACCCCTTTAAGGCCTAAAATCATTACACAGCATGTTAAACAGCAACAAAAAATATGTATTCAGTTTCTGAGGAAAATAATACTTTTTCAGTTTCTTCCTGATTCCTTTAACTTAACAGTTGCCATGATGATGAATGCAGATATTTATGTGTTTGTTTTTTTTTCTATTCCTTTTCACCATGCACCTCAGTGAGCCAAAATCCTCAGTGAGTATATATTTTTATTTCTACCATTATTCAACTGGAAATTATTTCTATGATTTCAAAAGCTGCCCCAAAATATGTTATTGACTGACCTCTGTGTCCTTTTTTTGCCTTTTTTTTAATATTACATTAAGGGTTATGATTATGAGGCTGTTTACTCCAACATGGAAGATGTCAACGTGTATGGAAATATCTGATGATAATGAACAACACAATGTTCAACAGTTTTTTCTTTTTTTAAAAGCTCAAAATAATATTAATCAGATTGTATGCTTTCAAATGTAATCACTCTTTTTGAGTCTGTATTGACTTAAATGATTTTATTAATGTTGTTGTCTCTGTTCTACTCACTTTCCAGCATATTTGTGTGAAAACATAACAATAAATATAAAAGTTCCATCCACTCTAGCACCTTGATGATTTATTTAGCAATTTCTTTATCAATTTCATTCTCCTTATCAATACCATACTGCATAAGTTTGCAGTAAGTTTGTAAAATATGCTGTAATGTAGTATTGTTGTTGTGAAACAAATTTGCACCAGTGTATAAAATGCTTACACTGTTACCAGTATTGACAGCAAACTGCATGAACATATTGTGATTAAACCAAATGTTTTTAGAAATAATAATCTTTGTAGCAATGCTTGTGAAAGGAAACAAGTATAACCCCAATCAGGCACAATAACAGGTCCAGAATTAATGATTAGCAGTGTTACTGTGTTGACTGGTTAAGCAAGATGGATGAGGAGAAGCTGATCTAAATGCAGCTCTTTCACTTTATTTAACAAACAACACCATTCACTGAACTAAGCAAACCAAGGGCAAAAAGTAGAAAGGCTAATGAGAACAAAACTAGAAACCAGTGTGCAACATAATCAGGAATGACAACAAATGGGTAGCAGGAACAAATGAAACAGGAACGAAACATGAGAAACTAAAAGTTGTGTACTTTGTTTTTAAATTGACCACTTGTGCATTATATTGTGATGAACTCTGACAAAAACTAAGATCAAGGAGATATCTTTCATCTTGCTGGGTGTGCGCCTCACACCAACAAATGGGCTGACCTTCATAAAAAAAAAGAAGGAGATATCTTGCATCTTGCTGGGTGTGGGCCTCACACCAACAAATGGGCTGACCTTCATAAAAAAAAAAAACCTTTTTCTTTCTTTCACTTCACCTATTTTTTTGCTTTTCTCTTCTTGGTAATAGGCTCTTTTCCCAATCATCTACAGAGGACTACTAAAAAGGTAAGAATGAAAAACTGAAGGATGTTAAAGTATGCAAGTGTGTTAAAGTGCTTAAGAAGAAGACTGAAGGGGGTGAGAGAGAAAGATAGAGAAGAAATTACTCTGAAAAGCTGCAGTATCCACCTTTTTCCAAAAGAGTGTGTTTTAAATTATGGGTGGCACTTCCATTCAAAATGACTGAAACAAATCATTTCAAATAATTAGCTGAGCAACAAATAATAATTATCTGTCAGTTTGACTGAATGGTCTGTGCGGCTATTTTTATCCACCGGGAAAATAATACAAAGCTTGATTTTTCCATGTTCTTTCAGCTACACATCATACCCACCCCAAAAACCACGTAGAGTTGTGTGGTATCAGTGGGTCTCTAGAGGTTATCCTTTAGTTTATGATCCATGGTATCCAAATTATGTCATTGAGAAGTTCAGATGGAAAACTGATTTATATGGTGACCCATTAAGTAGGGATTGCAGTCTGTTAATTAAAAACCTGGAACAGTCCCACCATGGAGAGAAATTATATGCATGGATTGACCCTGAAAATGTTGGATGGAGCACCTACAAATTTTATGATGTCACCTCTACAATTCAAGTTGACGGTACATAAATACTTTGTTCTTCAAAATTAGCTTGACTTCTTATCTAGTTGCCTAATATTGACATTTCTGCTATTTGTAGCAAGTCCACAGCTGCCCAGCATCAGTATTTCTGGAGGTGAAAGGACGGGTGACGCCATCACAGTAGAATGTTCAACTTCCCACACGTGTCCATACAGCAAACCAACCATCACTCTGAACGGTATAGAAGGATCTGACAAAATAGTCAATGACTCCATTAAAGATGGCCCGTGGAAAATCACTCTGACACGCACAGGTGTTGTAAAGGCAGAAAACTCAACTATTAAGTGTTCAGTAACACATTATGGTGGCATAACAGTGACAGATACAAAAAACACAAGTGCACAATGTGAGTAAACACAAACATGAACTGATTTGTGTGCTATTAGCTATTCACTTTAAATGTCACATTGACACCTATTACAAGATTTCAGTTCAATTTCAGGTGCTCATCATAAAATAACGATTGAGCCTGAACTGGCAGATGTCACAGAGGGCGTCGCAAAGAACTTCATTTGTAGCGTCTACCATTCCTGCCAGAAAGATAATCCAACCATCACATGGAACTATGAGAACATGCAGGTCACAGAGAGGAGCAAAACACTTTCAGGTTTAACTCGGGTCACCTACTCCAACATAACCTTTCTGGGTGTAAAAGAAGACCATGAAAAGAAATTGATTTGCATTGCAAATTTTTCTGGAGGAAACATTACAACCTCTGTTGTTTTACGTGTAAAATGTGAGTAAACACAAATGTGAACTAGTTTGTGCACTATCAGTTAAAATGTCACAATTGGACCGATTACAAGATTTCAGTTCAATTTCAGGTGTTCATCATAACATAACGATTGAGCCTGAACTGGCAGATGTCACAGAGGGCGTCGCAAAGAACTTCATTTGTAGTGTCTACCATTCCTGCCAGAAAGATAATCCAAACATCACATGGAACTATGAGAACATGCAGGTCACAGAGTGGAGCAAAACACTTTCTGGTTTAAATTGGGTCATCTACTCTAACATAACCTTTCTGGGTGCAAAAGTAGATCATGAGAAGAAATTGATATGTACTGCAACATTTTCTGGAAGAGACATTATGGCATCTGTTGTCTTAAATGTGCAATGTGAGTGATTTATTTAACATATACTGTCTCAACCATGTCTCATCATTCATATTGTTTTCTATATTGATAATGTTTATTTAGTTTTTTTTCCTGGAGTCCATGCTTACGTCATTGTTATGCCTTTCAGATCAGTTATGATATTATCAGTTGTGTGCTAATAATAATGATGAATCCTCTTATTCCTTTTCCATAATAAAGCAGACCCAGTGCTCAGTGGACTGGAGACTATTGGTCTTTATATCCTAACGCCATCACTTGTGTTCTTTCTGGTTTGTATACTTGCTGGAGTCATCATATACAAGAAACGACAAAGGTAACTCTTTGTGCATGTTTCTTTAGGCCAGGCATTTCTAAACATTTTTGTCAGCTGAACCCCTTAGAGGTAAAATATTTACCCTGTGAGATTTAAAGTTAATATTTAAATAATTTAACAACACATGCATGATCATGCACGACTTATTTCACTTTTCTGCAACAAAATTTCATCTCATATACAAATGTTTTATAGTGCTGCTGTTGAAAGCTTTCAGTCATCAAAACTGAACAAAAAAAGTATTTGCATTGACTTTGTACAACTAGACTTGAAAGTGGATTCAGAAACCCAATCAAATTGAATATAATAATAATAAGCATAATAATAGTCAGGGGTTAATTGATATGGATTTTTTGATTGCCAAGAGAATAGGGTGGCAACAGTACACACAGTAAATTGTTATGTTTGTGTGCACTGGAAATCATATCTCAACTAAAGATCGCATATTACTAATTTCACATACAGTACACAGTGAATATGACAAACTTTGCACTTTTTGTCTGAGAAAGAAATGTTGTTTGCTTTTGTTGAGTGCTAGCAAATGCTAATTAGATATCCTGAGAACAAATTAGATGTGTAATAAGTTGTTGTATCACTTACCATATACTGTATGTAGATGTTCATTGGATGATACACAGGAAGCAATGCTTATCTAGATATATAATTGTTATACATTCACTCTCTTGCTCCTTTGCTGCTTGATTAGATAATCTTTAATCATCTGATCTGTACCTTCTTTTAAAAGTTATAATTTAACATAGGTATCGATAACTTTGAGTCATATTGATATGCTGCATTGATGTTTATCACTTTTAGTCAATATGCAAAAAAAACATGTGGATGTGGAGCAGTCAGCAATGAAAGGCATTAATCTGGAGGTCAAATCAAACGGGAATAAACTAAGTAGAAATCAAACAAAAGATGAAAAAGTTAGTAAAACTCACAGCATCACCTTCCATTCTTACATGACATCTGTTCCCATGCAGGTCAAAAGATGCAATGTCAGGAAACAAGCCTTTCTCCGAACCTTATATGCCGTCACCAAAGAGGTACAGCACATTTGAACCCATGATACAAGTCAATTTTTTTGTAAATTTATCCATCAAATTTTGTACATTTTTAAAAAGAACAAGATATTTTTGGTATTTAAATGAAATAACCACACAAAAATTTACTTTTCCCCATGCACCTCAGTGATCCAAAATCCTGCTCTGTGAGTATATAATTTGCACTGCGTTACACTGCGGAAAACATACTGAGATCCTTTGAGGAAGTCTTACTGAAATATGTTATTAACTGATGTCTGGCTCTCTGTTCTCTCTTGAAATATTCTATTAAGGGTTATGATTATGAAGCTGAATACACCAACATGGACGAACTCAACATGTATGGAAATATCTGATGAAAACAACATCAAAGCAAAATGGGCTCAATACAGTGTTTTTTGAAAAGATTAACAATTAATGTTAGACTTTATTAATCATTTTATTATTAATAATTGTGTTACATTTATCATGTATAAGCGTCTCTTTTTAGAATCCAGATCTATTCAGGTTGGTTAAGCAAACAACTGATCTGATTTATATTTATGAACTATATATGTAATATTATACAGATTTTTTTATTTTTTATTTTACTACTTTTGTACCTGACTATTAAATATGATTGAATCATATTGTTACATTCAGACAGTGACATACCAAACAGAAAGTGAGGCTGTATCTTAGAAATGCTTTAAAGGGGTCATATGATGTTGCTAAAAATAACATTATTTTGTGTATTTAGTGTAATGAAATGTGTTTATGAGGTTTAAGGTTAAAAAACACAGTATTTTCCACATAATGTACATTATTGTTTCTCCTCTATGCCCCGCCTTTCTGAAACGTGCCGATTTTTACAAAGCTCATCGGTCTGAAAGGCGAGGTGTCCGCTGAATGGCCAGCTATCCAGTGCGTTGTGATTGGCTGAATGCCTCAAGCATGTGACGGAAATGTTACGCCCCTTACCATATTGTGATGCCATCTCCCGGCATGGCGAGACAAAACCATAGGGATGGGCTATACCTCGTATTTTATTTTCGATCCGATACCGATATTTTCAAGCCCAGTATCGTCGATATCGATACCGATACCTATAAATTTAATTGATCTTTTAAATTAATAAAATAATATAATCAGTAATTATACTCACTTAAAATTAGATTTTAAAGCCATGTTTTTTTAAACATTTCATAGGCCTTTTTTTGTTTACACTGTCAGAAATAAAATATCCTATAATTGTATTTTAGACCTTTACTGGGGCAGTAACCTCAAAGGTGCAACTATACCCCTAAAAGGGAGCATATTAGTACCATACATGTATGCATGCTTTAAGGGTAGATAAGTTACAAAGGTGCACCTTTGAGGGTACCTCATGAAAAATAAACATGGTGTTACATAAGTAGCCTACTAAAATGTATTATTATTATTATTATTACAGTAAAGTGTGGTTACTGTAATAAAACCATGGTTAATTTTTGTAAAAGGCTGCCAGGCTGTTGTACCCCTAAAGGTGAAACTTTAGCATATTTTTTCTGACAGATTTATTAACGGCAATTACAAAACAGAACGCAATCCATTTTAACTTTTAACAACCAGTTTAAATAAATGTACTTGCACAAACTAGAACACAAAAGTCTCATGCTCACCAAGGCTGCACTTATTTGGGGGGGGGGGGGGTAGTGGTTATGGTATGATTAAAACTCGATTCAATTAAAAATTAGTAACGTTTTGTTTTTACTTTTGTTTTTATCGAAATTACACATCACATTTTATGTCACATTGTACTTGTTTAATTACGTTTTTACGTTCTCTTCTGCCAGGCTTGGGAGGGGGGGCTTGAGATCATCGCAGGGGGGGCTAAGCCCCCCCAAGTAAAAGCAGCAATATTGTGAAATATAACAATAAAAAATAACTATTTTCTATTTTAATATATTTTAAAATGTAATTTAAAATGCATCTGTGATCAAAGCTGAATTTTCAGCATCATTACTCCAGTCTTCAGTGTCACATGATCCTTCAGAAATCATTCTAATATAATTTGCTGCTCAAGAAGCATTTATTATTATTACTGCTTTATATTTGTGTGGAAACCGTCATGCATTTTTCAGAATTAATTTTATACACAGTAACAATGTTATGCAATGTAATAATGTGGCAATGGTTTCTGTAGATCTACTTAAGCTTCTGTTTTTGGGAAAGCAGCCCTATTTGAACAAGAACTGTGAGCCATGCTTCAGCAGCGAACGCTATCTGTGATTGATTGGTTCTGTCTTTCAGCATTTGCGTGTGTTCCGATGAGCAGGAGAAATGGTTCTATCCAAAACAATCATTCGCTAATTGTCACGCTTGTACAACAACGAGGAACGAGGAGATCCAAGAGAATTCGCAGCAAACACAGTCTTTAATCCAAGAAACACAGGGTATACAGGGCAGACAGGAACACATGTAGCATAAGACATTCACATGCAATACCAGACAAGGGAGAATAGCACAGGCTAGAACTTAGATACAAGAGATAATTGGGGAACACAGGTGACATCAATCATAATCAAACTAACCGAGGACAGGAACTTGACCAAATAAGGAAACACAGGAAGGACTACGGGGGCAAACACACTAATGGTGCGTTCAAGTCATGTCAGATAGATCGTATTTACGAGTTGAATGCACATAAACGCCACCACAAAGTCCTTATTAGAGTGGGAAACATTTTCTTTAAGCCCCGAGTGTCCGAGTTTCCGAGATGCAACGTCTGTAGTTGATGGTAAATTTTTGTTTAAATTGATAGTTTAGTTGTCCTATAAACTTAAATTGATCATGTTCTTGTTACGCAGCTAGTTAAAGGGGTCATATAATGCGATTTAAATTTTTCCTTTCTCTTTGGAGTGTTACAAGCTGTTGGTGCATAAAGAAGATCTGTAAAGTTGCAAAGACTAAAGTCTCAAATCCAAAGAGATATTCTTTATAAAAGTTAAGAGTCAACCACGCCTACCTAAAACGGCTCATTCTAACACGCCCCCACATACCTACGTCACTATCTGGGAAGATTTGCATAAC